TCGCAACTATTTTTGTAAAAAAAATAAGTATTTTCGATCGAAAGTGTACCAAAAGTGCTTCTGAACGTGTTTCGCAGTTGGGTGTGGTGAAATTCGTGCATTCCCGGTTGATTGTGGAAATCCATATCACAAAATTACCCATCGGTTCCTTTTTTTTAGTCGTTCGACGAAGACGGGTGTGCTTTCGCGAGAGTGACGTTTATTGGATCCGTTTCTTTGCACGGGTGTGTTTTTTTTGTAACTAGCGTAAGTGTGCCATTGTGCCATTGAGTGTCGAAGATTGTGAGTAAGCTGAAGGATGCCTCGCGGTAGCTGGTGACCGTGAACGGTTCCTGGGGAAAGCACTAGCTGCGAACCTCCTCCCAGATGACCATGGCAATGCAGGAAGTATTAAAACAAAGGTAATTGCTATTAGATATTTTTGCAAACAGTGACAGATAGCAGACATGAAGAACCAGTGGAGGTGCCGGGCATAGGTGTTATATCCTAGACAAATGGTAAGTTACAAATTCGCTGTTGTCGTTGTCGTAGGCAGTAATCGCCGTCGTAGTTGCCGTAGGCAGTACCGTTAGTATATTAACCATCAACCGCTGAAAATATGAAGTGAAATTCGAGAACGTAATTTCATTTGAATAGCTTGTTTAACCAGGTCTTAAACAATCGTCACGTCGGTCATAGCTTGTTATGATTGCCTGAACCATGCGTAAAAAGAATCATCGACATTGAACGTCGCGTGAAAGTGGATCTTAATGAAGGCCTAAGTACTCTTTCGTGGCTTTTAATTTTAGGATTTCAAAGATCGCTTGTTTATCGTGTATTTTGTAAAACTTTTCGTTGTTGTCGGTGCCGGGTTTGAATAGTTATAAAAACTTGAGTAACGGTATAATGTGATATGAGGGGCTCGGTGGCCTTAGAGCAACCAGTTTACCTTACTGAGCAGAACATCATGAGTCTAATCTCAAGCCCATCCACATTCAATATTCGTTTTATTTGTTAACATGACAACATGGTAATAACAGCAACTCGATGATTAAAAAGGAGCTCGTCTGCATAGTGACAAACGTTTTTGCTTACTGAGCAGACGATCGTGGGTTCAATCCCAAGCTCCTTCGCGTTATATGATTGTTAGGACATCAAACCCTGCTGCAAACCCAACCCTATTACCCAATATCCCAGTGATTCCTCGTGGAAGTGCAGAGGTGTTCTCAGCTTCCATCAAAGCGAGTGTCACGTCAACACACTCCTACCCTTTGCATTCTTGACGGGCGCGGCCGGCGCTGGTAATGCCTAGATGGAGATCACCAGTTTTTACACATTGAGGATGATTGCTAGTCCCAAGCATCCCAAGTCTATTGGTTCTCTGTGTAATGACAGCTGGTCTGGCAATAACAGAGTAGCAACCGTGGGCGGTCAATCGTGCTCATGCTCATGCTGCAAGATCGTAATTTGGTCTGGAACTACTCAGTTTTAAAACTAATAAATCGAAGTGTCTGAATCTAGCGATGGGTACGTTAAAAATAATCACAGTTGATAATTGTGCTCTTTTATCATAAATGTTGATGACGCTTTTTCAATTCGACCGCCATATTGGTTATTATTTCCCTTGACTTTGTCAACTTCCACTAATTGGCAAGTTTGTGGAAAAAATCAACCAGCGCTGCAATATATTGAACATCACTGTACGATTGGGATACAGTATGTCCAACATTCTTACTCGATCTTGTAACTGATGGTTACAGTGATTATTTTGAGGTGACTCTGTCACCATGTATATAAAAAAATTAGTAGGTTTATACAGCGCTCTACACAACCCTATTAGCACAATCTCACCATTATCTCGTGAAAGCCACTTTGTTTACAGCGGTTTGAACCATCGGAAAATACTGCGCCGCTTTGCTTCGCTGCAGAAAAAAAAAGGCGAAACCAAAGATGATGCCACGGAAGGAAATGTTTTACTGGAAACAAAGGGTCAACTGTTTGGGTTCGGGTTACTATGCTCGGCAATCTTGATGTTCGGCCCATTCTGTCCAAGACCTCCGTAGGGAGTTGTAGTGCGCGCGGTTATTCCATGTAAAAATAGTATGTGATTTTGCATGTGGTGTAAAGTAGTTTAAAGTTTGCTCTTCTTTCAGTGAACATATATTTAAGTGGAACTGTAGGCTGAGGATAGTGTTAACTATTGTATAACGTTGTGTTGCCGATAGTACGTCAAGGTAGAGCCAGTGGCAGAATAAAAGAAATGTACATTTAGGTTAAAACAAAATCGTTTCTCGTTCCACTAGGAAAAGGTCTGAATGATCAGAAGTTCAGTACCTGAAAAAAATTATAAGTTATTACAGTGTTCAGTAAGAAAAAGGTAATTGTTGATTTTCATAACGTTTGTAAAAGGTTAAGTTATGTGACGTCCATGTAATAACTGGGTGGGTAGGTCCATTCTTCGGGACCTTTTTCTCTTTGTTCGGACAAAGTCCGTTATTCTCTTCCTCAGCCGGAGGTCATTCAAGGACAGCGGGACTAGCGACAAGTGGACCGAGGACCACCATTTTCTGGTTGGCAAAACGGCTCGAGACAAACACGTGTTCGTGTAACCACTACCGCATTGACGCCATTATACGAGAGTGGTCGCCTGTCCATCGTCATCAACATCGTCGTCGTTGTTTCCCAGCCATTCCACAGTCGGTCCCACAGTCATCGCCAATCGACGGGTGATATCAGCTTCGTCGAAGTAACACGGGTGATCCCACCGCCATCATTATTTCACGAGCGGCCCCTGCATCGTCACCGTTTCATGGACGCTCTACTCACCACCGTTGTTGCCTAACGGTCAGGCACACCTGGTGCATCGTGGCCCCTCGGGTGATCCCAACAGCATCGCTGTATTTGTGAGAACACCAACATCATCGCCATACGAGCAAGCATCACCACATGATCGTACCACATCACCTCTACCATCGCCGCCGACCTACCCACCTCTATGAAGAGACAGACAAAACCGCAAGTACCCAGCAAAATGCATGTGACGTCACTAGGTTACAATAAACAAAAAATGTAAAAATGTTCAAAATTAGGCGGCTTATATTTTCCTAAAGAGTGCAGCCCTTAAACTATTTTCCACCATCTTCTTCGCTCATTTTCGTTTCTACCGGACCCAGAAAGGGGTTTTCATGCCTCGCCCGGGAAGTTCTGTCTAGAAGGTTGAACATCGTGAGCCTTTGAGCTTCTTCTTTAGTTGACTGTCCAGAGTTTAACGTTTCCTTTCAGGTGCATGATTTCTGGTTGAGCTTCGCGTTTAAAAATAGGTTCCTGGTATTAACAGGTGGCCACGGAATAATTGTGAGATTTGTGCTATTAGCGACCCTGTGATTACCGAGAGATAGTTTTAGGGATAACAATCTTATGCTCATCACAACAGTTGGGGCATTGCAGATGGTGAAGTGATGGGTATTATCTTTAACTTAGAAATAAACAACGATGACAAAGCAAACAGAAGGGGTACCGTAAAACGGGTTATCTTTGCTAATGCGGTTAACTTTGATAGTACAATACAATGATTAAATTTTCTCGCTGCGCTCTTTCAGAATTGGAAACATTGGTTCCAGATTGTAGCTTAGAGTATTTCCGTTGATATCGTATATAGTTTTTATATAATATGTTTTACATATTTAACAAACATATTAAAAAACAATTTTCTTGTTTTTGGCTTGTTTGAAAAGGCACTCAAACTATACCTTATGAAATTTATTTCCGATATAGCCATCACAAATTCAATGTTGTTATTGCTTATGATGATTTCTGATTATATACTTATTCAAAGTTTCATATTTCAAGAACTAAATTGTTTGAGTTTCACGCATTTTTTCTACATTCCTCAAGCTTGATCAAAATAGTGATGTTCGGTCACAAAACTAACAAAATAGTGCGAATACTTTAATTCCAGTTAAACATATTAATAACGAATTGACGAATTGGATCATCTGAACTTGTTTAAAAAAAAAAAATTTGAAAAACATTCATTGCTGTAAACCACATTTAGAATATACTTTAAAAAACTATCAATTTTACCCAATTTTACGGTATTCACTTACCCGTTTACGATGAACTGTGTGAATACCCCTTCTATGCTATCCATGTAAGTATGTTAGTGTAAAATATTTTTGTTCTGAAAAGTGTTCGTAGTGGTGCAATTTGAAAATTCACAACGATTATAACTTGAAATCTGATATAAATAAAACTATACCATGGTGCCACTTAAGAAGAAAAGAAACCAAATGTGCAATTTAAGAAACAATGCAATACTTGAAACTAACAGAATGAACAGACTAAAAAAAAATCGCAATTATCATGCTAATTATTAGAAACACATAGAATCTGAACATCATAATCAACAGTAAATAATACTAATTTCAGAATTCAACATTCAAGCAACGTCGAATAAAAACTAAAACATTACCCAATAAGCTGAACAAGATGAGGTATACATGGATTAGGTACCGAACAACAGGAGCACAAGAGGAACTCGAATTACAAAACTCATCAAGCGTAACAAAATTGCCCAACAAGTTGACGGTAGGAAAATTTGTGGACACGATGCAAACGTAAAGGATCAACGAAAACCAAGACTTCCGGTTGGGTTCATTTCGTTATCGTCATCAACAGAAGCAAAGAGAATTTGAAGACAGGAAAAATCGACTGGGACAATGAAATGGGAAAAATATGTATGCGGAAAAAGCGACCGAGAGGGTGTCCTCGTTGGGGACATCGCGGGTCTGTCGCGCTTTCTCTCGGAGCACCAGTGGAAGCGAGAATTTTTATATTTGATGAGAGCAAAAGGTGTGAAACGGGGTGGAAATTCATAATTTTCTTTATTAATTAGAGACTGTTGCAGACCCGGGACGGGGGCCGGCAAGTAGAGAGAAACGGAAATAACTTCATCAAGAATGTTACGGTTCGTGTCTTCAGAGACAGACGGGGGGAGCTGGAAGAGCAGGGAGCTGCATTACCTCTTGATTTCCACTATCCTGGCAAGCAATAAAATATAGGTAAGGTGTACACCAAGAAAATGTTAAAATCTTAGACTTTACTCGGCAAAGTTTCTTGTGTTGATTTGGGAATGATCGAGCAATGGATGTAAAGGATTATGTTGTAATTTGATTTCTCTAGCGATTGCTAGGGTAAACATTATCGAAAAAAAAATGTCAAAAACCAAATTCAAAAAACTCAGAATGTGTTTGAATTGAAAAAAAAAACTTGCTATTGGTGTTAAGAGTTTTGAGGTACTATTTACTAAAGACAAAAAACTACAGGATTATAAATCATCCCTTAGCCAGTTGGATACTGAGCTGAACTAATAGCTAATATTGTTTTTGATTTTCCTTTTACACATTCGGAAGCAGTTCATTCACTAAATAATGTTCGAATTAGCTTTGCTAGAAACGCTCTAAACATATGTTGTATTATTATTGCCGACAAAAATGAAAACCATAAGATCAATGTACAAAAATCTAAATCATCTAATTGCCTACACATATTCGATAGCTAGCCTATAGAATGAGCTCTGGGAGTCTAAAAAGTGGAACACTATTTCCGTACTAGAAAAAAATATAACTCAAAAAATATCTAGTCTAGGAAAATCGACAACAAAAATGATGGGGGAAAATCTTTGATGAGAGCGTTTCAAAGCTTCCGTTTTATTTTTTGTAGGTTAAACAACCAACACAAAGTATAACGATGCTGGAAGGGGAATAAACTCGGAAAATCATAATTGTCAAGTCTCATGTGGCAATCAGTCTACTTCTAGTAGATGCACACACGCCTTGTAGAAAAAGTTGGTTGATGATGGTTACGAAACGAAAACTCGGTGAGGAAAAATGGGGCTGACTAGAGATGGATTAAAGCAATTTACCTTTTTGAAGTGATTCAACGTGTCCTGGCTTTTCTCGCACATTTCCGTGATGAGGGTTACGCCGGCAATCAGGATACCTGTTGGGGAGGATGGGAAGATTTGGAATGTATTAGATTGATATGCATATGATGGTGATGGTGAAATGGTCATATCTTGTCGGAGGTTGCTTGTTAGACTATAATGCGATTATAATTTTGTTCGCTGAGAAAAGAGAAAACGCCCCAAACTTTTGGACTGTTTCAAAGCAATTATGAAAAAAGTTTTGGAGTGCTTTAAGGATTTAATTTTAAATAACCCAGAAAATCAGGATGTAGGGGAAAAATCTACTTCGCCCATTCCCGGCCTATCGAGCACAAAACATCAAACTAGGTATATCTATGGCGTGAACATGTTAAACAAACGGTTGGTACGATGCTTCTATTCAATAGCTGCAAGACGAAGTGTTGAAGAACGCAAAATAAGATATCGAAAATGCCGTTTGCAGAACACCGAGACTCTCAATCACAACGACCAATTCTCCGTTTCAAGCCGAACATCAGCCGCCTTTTCATCAAGCCTGGGACGCACGTCACAAAGCAGTATGGAAGCCCTGGACCCACCTAGCTCAGCTGCGCCCACTACTGGCTCCAGTCCTGGTCAGTTCACACGCCCCCACCATCTAAGTCGTCCCGGCCCTGAGTCTAGTACTGGGGACAGGGCTTTCCAAGCTGCCATCCACGGCAAGTACCCTTATTCTTTCGACGTTGCTCTGCCTGATGCTGCCTCCACTTCCAGATTGCAGCCCGCTGTTCCATGCGTCCCAGCATCTCAAATTCTGCTATACTACCAGAACGTCGGTGGCATGAACAGCTCACTCGCCGAATACCAGCTAGCATGCAGCGACGCATGCTACGACATATACGCCTTCTCGGAAACCTGGCTGAATAACAACACTTTGTCAAAGTAGTTGTTTAACGATACATATTCCGTCTACCGTCAAGATCGATCAACCCTCAACAGCAACAAGACCTCCGGTGGTGGAGTCCTTCTGGCCATTCGCTCCCGCTTCGTATCTCGCTTACTGAAACCTCCTGAAGATTCGACGGTTGAGCATCTGTGGGTTGCAATTTCAACTCTAAGTGGTACAATCTATATCTGCGTGATATACGTTCCTCCCGACCGCGTTAACGACCAAAGCCTGATTGAGAAGCATGCACTTTCGCTGGATTGGATTGTCTCTCATATGGATGCCAGGGACAGCATCGTCATCTTGGGCGATTTCAACCTTGGCACTGTATCGTGGCTTAGCGATGCTCACGGCTTCTTCTTTCCTGACAATTCCCGTTCATCGTTCAGACCGGCTTCTCTCTCCTTGCTTGACGCGTATTCAACCACAAGGCTTCAGCAAGTGAATGGCGTTCTGAATGCAAACAACCGTTTGCTCGATCTGTGCTTTGTCGGGGAGGATTTGGGACAAAGCTGCTCTGTTACCCATGCTCCGGCACCGCTCGTCAAAAACTGAAGACATCATTCACCTCTACTGTTGACGCTTGCAATCGATCCTGAGAAACGCTTCCAAGACCACGCCGAAACCGTCTTCTACAACTTTCACAAAGGAGACTTCGAGCGAATGAATAACTTTCTCGCTAATGTGGATTGGAATGCGACACTAGACTCCAGGGATGCGAATCTGGCTGCCTCGACCATGTGTGGTATCATATTCTACGCTATCGATCAGTTTGTGCCTAAAAAACTACGGTGTAAACCTGCCAAACCCGCCTGGTCGAACTCTGATTTTAAGCATCTGAAAAAGGTGAAAAGGGCTGCACTGAGGAAACACAGTAAATATCACACAGATTCTACGAAGGCTAATTACGTCCGCGCCAACAACGAGTACAGAGATCTCAATGCAAGCTTGTACAACGCACATCAGTCTCACTTGCAGAGTCGTCTCAAAGCTAATCCTAAGGAATTCTGGCGATATGTGAACGAGCAACGGAAAGAAACGGGATTGCCGTCCAATATGACTGATGGCGTTACTGATGCCAACTCCGTCGCAGATATCGCCAATATGTTTCGCACACAATTCAGCAGCGTTTTTTCAGACGAAGTTCTTGATGCTCAGGAAATTGCTGCTGCCACGAGTAATGTCCCTCGTACGTCGGTGTTTGGTTCTCCATTCACCATCCACAGCGACATGGTGATTTCAGCCGGGAAACAGATGAAAACATCAACAGGATCTGGTCCAGATGGCATTCCCTCATTAGTACTGAAACGTTGCTTAGACACTCTTTCTGAGCCCTTAGCTAAGGTCTTCAACTTGTCAATGACCTCCGGAGTTTTTCCAGAATGTTGGAAGGATTCGTTTGTTTTCCCTGTTCACAAAAAAGGATGCAAGCAGACTGTCGCCAATTACCGCGGAATAGCTGCATTGAGTGCTATCTCCAAACTATTCGAGCTAATTGTCCTGGAAAAGTTGGTTCAAGACTGCTCGTACAGTATTTCTCAGGATCAACACGGCTTCATGCCTAAGCGCTCGACGACGACTAATCTAACTGTTCTTACATCGTTCATTATTCGTGAGATTGAACGTGGCCATCAAGTTGACGCCATATACACCGACCTCTCTGCAGCTTTCGATAGAGTGAACCATGAAATTACCATCTCTAAATATGACAAAATGGGTGTTCATGGGAGTCTACTTACCTGGCTTCGCTCCTATCTGACTGGCAGATCTATATCTGTTAAGATCGGTGACTACGCTTCTCCACCCTTCATTGTTACATCTGGTGTTCCTCAAGGCAGCCACCTGGGGCCATTGCTTTTTCTGTTGTATATGAACGACGTGAACTTGATCCTCAAATACCTTAAACTCTCGTACGCCGACGACATGAAGCTCTACTACGTAATAAAAGGGCCTCAAGACGCTCATTTCCTCCACCAAGAACTTGAAGTCTTTGATGATTGGTGCCGGATAAACCTTTGGCCGTAAACGGGCGATGCATTTCCACGATTACACCTTAAGAGGAATAAGCTTGAAACGCGAATCGACTGTCAAGGACTTGGGAGTCATGCTCGATTGCAAATTAACGTTCAAGGATCACATTGCTTATGTTGTATCTAAAGCTTTTTTTTTTTTTTTTAATTCTTTATTTAAGGGGGTATTCCCAATCTTTTGCCTTTTTTCGGCCTGTTTTTCAATTAATTTTTTTCAAGGAAAATGAATAGTAATGCGCCTAACTCTTTGAGATTCTTGTTTATTGAACATTAAAGTTTAAAAAAAAATTTTCGACATAAAAAAAGACATTATTGACGTCACAAAATGGCGGTAAACAGACCCCTGTTCGCCGCAAACGCCTGGACGGGCGAAGACTTTTCTCTGGAACGGCTTCATCTGAAACAGATTTCGTGATGAAATTATAATCTGCATAAGATTCTCTGGAGCTTCTCCCGTTGGCAGCAAAAAATCTTGCAAATTAACAAAATGGCGGCCATATGAAAAAACAGGCGATTTTTAGCCCGCTTTTTTGCAGCTTTAAGGTGCTTCAAACAATGTTAAATGTTAATATTTTTGGCTGAAAGTGGGAGAAGCTCCAAAGAATTTAATAAGGAACAAAATGCGCAAAGATTCAAGTCAATATCTCTTATAGTTTCTGAGAAAAATCTTCGCCCGATAAAAAAAATGTGGTTTCGAGAAAAACGCGTTTAAAGTTTTGACTTTAGTTAAAACCATTTGGGGGTTCTTACCATTAGTCAGCTATGCCTGGACACCGAATTCGCTGATCGGAAAACGGCTTGGGGGGATGAAAGTATATAGTCTAAAGTACAAAAAAACGTGAAAAAAAAAATTTGATTTTTTGAAAAAAAAGATCGGGAACACCCCCTTAAGAGATTTTTAGCCTTAGGCTAGTTCATCTCTAAGTATCTAAAGCTTCATCGCAGCTAGGATTTTTATTCCGTTTCGCCAAAAGCTTCAAGGACGTGTATTGCCTAAGGCTTTATACTGTTCCCTGGTTCGACCTATACTAGAATACTCTGCCGTTTTTTGGTCGCCATTCTATCAGAATGCCATCCATAGAATTGAAGCTGTTCAGCGAAAATTTATTCGCTTTGCGTTGCGACACCTTCGTTGGCGCGACCCGCGTAACTTGCCGAGCTATGAAAGTCGCTGTAACCTCATCGACCTGGAGCTCTTGGAAGGAAGGCGTAATGTGGCGAAGGCTTGTTTCGTTGCGGATCTTCTGCAAGGGAACGTCGACTGCTCCACACTTCTCAGTCTTCTTGACATCAACACTCAACGACGGGACCTCCGGCTGCATGCGTTCTTCAACAACCGGCGTTCGAGGACCAACTATGGCGTACACGAACCTATGTTGAGTATGTGCCGCGTTTTCAATAGTTGTTATTATGTGTTCGATTTTAATGTGTCCCGCGAGAAAAATAAGCGTAGCTTTAAGAGATGTTTGCGTTTATTTTGTGTTTGAAGCAGTTTTGATGTTTAGATATAGAAAATTGTCATTAGGGTAACTATTTTATCTGTTGACAAGTAGAAATAAATACCCTATAAGTAGAAAAAAATCTGTCATTGAGAGCGTGGCGACTAATTCCATGCGCATCTCAATATAATAAACCTCTTGGACAGCAACATATGTCAGTGTGGAAACGGTTACGATGACATCGATAATGCAGTTTGGCAATGTACGGATAATGACGACGCCAGAGAGCGACTTTTGAATACCCTCGAGGTCCAAGGAAGACAACCCTATGTTCCTATCAGAGAAGTGTTGGGAACTCGCGATATGCAGTCGGTTTATGTGTTTCTTCAAATGTCTAGTATAAGAATTTGATTACTTTGTCTTTTGTCTCTCTTTATTAGTTTTTTTTTGTCTTGTCCCACCGTCTCGATGAGTCTCATCGTCGCCCACCATAGCCGGTCGAACTCCAGACGAATCTGGAACCGAACTACAATTCATACTAGTGACAACGCTCTGATGAGACAACGAAAACCCACCCGTAAGCTCCTCCCCTGATCCTATCCTTCGACAATGTACCCTTCTAACATCGAGTAAGCCGCGAGTATTCGGCCCAACTTCTACTA